TCCGATCTCCATTAAACTTTGAATGCTTGTTGAGAGTCATCTGACACATGTTTTCACCAAGTTTCATAAGTTTTGAGTAACCAGGCAACCAAAGGACAAAATTCAACATTTTTTTTGATAATTATTGATATAGAGAGTCCAGAGAATTGCGCTGCAGTGGTTTGATCGAGATTGAGCAAAAAACCTAGAACTAGTTTGCAAAAGTAGGTTTTTAACATAATTGAGAATATTTAAAGGTGCAGTAGGAGATCTTGGAAAATGCTAACTTTAGCCTGATAGCACTGAAAGCGAACGTCCCACCCTCCCTGCAATCGCCGTTCAAAGCCACGCCCCCTGAATGCATATATGCTCACAGACCAGAATACCAGAGACAACATTACTACAATAGGCTACATCAGCGGTTCCCAATTCCAGTCCTCGCACTGGATGTGAAGACGTGTGTGTGTGAGTGTGATGTGTGTGAAGACGCTGCGCAGCGCAAATCCGTGAATGAATGTTTCCCCTGCTCAGAGAGTAGGGAGAAATGAACACTGTGTAGGGATCATATCGATCGGAACACAGTTCATGCACGTAGCTCACTTCTAACGAGCTGGTTATCTGAATCGGGTGTATTAACTAAGCGAGACATGCAAAATATGCAGAGCTGGGGGGCGCGAGGACAGGAATTGGGAACTGCTGGGCTACATCATGTGTCATTCACCGGTGAGAAAACTTTAAAAGTACTACAATACCAGGAAGGAAGATCGGGTTGTTGATGTTTGTCTGCCATTCTCGCTCTGTCTGCACAGCGTGTGTGAATGCGCTGATGACGTATCCTGTCTGCGCGAACTGGGTGCGCAGAGGTATGTTAATACATACATTGACAGGCAGGTAGGAAAGCCAATTAAAACTCTCGGACCGAGCGTTTTGATTGGACGAACATTTCTTGGTCCTACGCCTTCCACAGAATATATAAATACAGATAAATACATTTAGACCACTTAACTTAATGTTGCTATCGTGATGTGTAGAGACTTTCAACCAGCATAACAAAAAAAATTGTGTGGATGTGTGAAGCACCACGTGATTACAGAGCCATAAAACTCGTTAGCACCATCTAGTGGCCGATTTCTTTCAAAATTCTTACAGACCTTTAGGGCCATGAGTCGAACATGCCCACCGAGTTTCGTTCCGATCGACCTCCGTTAACCAAATAGGTGCTTAAATTTGTTTGGCCAATGGCGGACATGTTTTTTGAGATAAGCGAATGTCCTCATAGACACTTGTGCCACTTTGGACAAAGACACAAAGACACAATTTTCAAGTCAATCGGACCAACGGTTGCGCAGTTATAGTTGTTTTTATGTTTTTTCCACCTTATCACCAAGTGGCAGAGCTGCGTTTTTTTTTTTGTTTTTTTTTACCAAAGATTGAGCTCATACACATGTGTACCGAGTTTGGTGAAGATATCTCATTCCGTTCAAGAGTTATGGCTACATTTAGCAATTGGCTAACATTAGCATAGAACATTTTTGCGTACTGTTGCGCGTGAAAATCGAAATTTCAACTTTGTTTTATAATTATTGATATTCACTCTCCAGAGAATATTTCTGCAGTGGTTTGGTTCCGATCAGGCGAAAAACCTAGGACTAGTTTGCAAAAGTAGGTTTTGGACATAACTCAATTTTGCGGAAAAACCAGACTTCATAGAACAAATCCGCTGATAGCAGTTTTGTTTGTTGTGACCCAAGGATTACAACGATGTAAAGATAAATTAGTCTTCGATAAACGGTGTATGAGCTAGGGCCAAAAATGTCTGAAATTTATTTTTTTTGCGCTGTAACGCCCCCTTTAGTCCGATTGGGGCGACTCTTTGGATCTGAGTAGCAAGCAATACTACTACGATCTAACCAAGTTTCAGCTCTCTAGGCCTTACGGTTTGGGCTGCACAATCAGTTTTATCGGAGAAGAATAATAATAAAAAAAAAAATCCTTACAATTACAATAGGGTTTCAGCACTATGTGCTTGAACCCCTAATAATAAGAAATGTTTTTTGTGCACCACATCAGCATATTAGAATGTTTTCTGAAGCATCATGCGACACTGAGGATTCAGCTTTGCCATTTAAGAGATAAATTACATTTTAAAATATATTAAAATAGAAAACTATTTTCAATTGTAATATTTCACAACATTGTTTACTGTATTTTTGATTAAATAAACCAAAAAAACGTATATACTTGATATAAAATATATATATTCTGTTATTTTCTAAAATATATATTGTGTATTATATATAATAACAGAATGGTAAAACACTTTCTGTTTGTTGTGTTTACAAATCCATTAAAAATCTATAAAGGAAATTCTATCAAAATTAATAGAGGTGCTAAATGTCATGTTTCAGTTGAGCTTTGGACTGACGGGTGGCATTCAGGTGGAAAGCAGCAGTGAGACTGCAGTGAACATGAGCCTTAATGAAAACTTTTCCAACATCAGGAGTCTCCAGGTTACGATGGAGTAGTTCATTGAGTCATACTACACCGACGTCTCTACCTTTGTTGTCCATACTAACATGAACAAGCCTAATCAAAGAGGTTTAACTCACAACTTCCACACTTGTCTTCTTCATTAAAAACCACCAATTTACCAGTACAAACAGTTTTGTCAATTAGAAATGTTTACTGCCTTTACTTAAAAGAGCTGAAATATCAGTTGTGAAACTTAAACAAGCTGTAAAAGCAACCCAGAAGCTTAGTCATCTGAAAAGAGACTACAAACCAAAGTCTTATACATTTCTTTTCGTATTCAGAAATATACTATATAATATAATATAGTTTTTAATTTTATTATTACATCATTTTCAGAACTACACAGATACAGGACACATTCATTCTAGAGAGCGCTAAGGAGACGGAGAGCAAATGATTGCAACAGGACACTGACATGCTCTTTAAAAATAACTATTTAAAATACACAACACATTGGAAAATGTGACTCCAAGAGAACTCCCTTCAAGCCAGTCATGACGAAAATAGTGCGCCTGCTTATTATGATAATCGCAGTAATCTGCAGGGGGCATAAAAAGATGACCTTTGAGGTGTTTTGAGGTCATTTTCTCCTTAAGAATAAAAAAGTTCTTCTTAAATCTGACCCCTGGTTGAATTACAGTTGACAGGCCAAACTTCCCAAGGGATTCCATACATTGTTTAGCCTCATTCTGACCACTGCCTAAAAGAATCTGGCCTTGAGTAGGGCCTTTTCATTTTGACAACACTAGTTTTGGCATAAAATGCCTTAGGAGCTCTTAGTAAGAAGTTTTGTATGGAAAAGCTCCATTATGGACAGCAGAGTGCAAAAGAGAATACAAAACACTAAAGACAGAAAAACTTAAAAACAGAAGTCAAATATCCAAACTGCAAATGGATGATGACAATTACAATGGTAAGAATTTCATGGCTAAATCGGTATAGCAACACCTGCTATCACAAGCTCAATTGAATATATCACAATGATATAAATAAAATGATATCACAAACTGAAATCACATTAGCAGATCCCCACTGCAGTCCACCTCATTTCACTGAAATCACTTCATGTTGCCACATTTGTTTGCAATATTAGTTCCAGTTCTCCTTAATGGTTTTGTGGTTTGTCTGGTGGCTGCTCAGATATTCTTTGAAATGATCAAGACAACTCTAATATCTCACTGAGGTTTTGGAAGAAGAGAAAGGGAACAGACAACCAGAGATAGTCTGAATTGCTGTAATTGAATGCTCACACACATGCACTGAAAGAGCAGTTGACTGAGGTATGTTTGTGTGGAGTGTTATTGATCGATGTGTGAGGGAAAGCTTGGACCTACGTGTTCTTAAACCCCACAGAAGACAGTCAAACCTCTTTCTCTTCCAAATACACACACACATAATCTCTCTCCAGTCCACACATGCTAATTCTCTGCTTGAAGCAGATATGATAACACAGGGGGTCAGTTGAAGAAACACATATGTTTTTACATTTACGTATATGTGGAAATTTTCTTCCTTGTTATTATTAGATGATCATTTGTGAATTCCTCCCTCTGGGTTTTGATCTCTGAAGGAAATCACATTTGTGCCTAACATCAGTTACCAAGGAGCATAACTCTCAGCATCCACTCATCTGTCGCTCTATTTCTTTCCCATTTATTGCCCTTCTATCAATTTTCTTTCCTCTCCTTGTTTTTCTTCGCGCTTAATTTCTTCTCAGAGGTCCATCTCATATCCTTCCTGGTGTCATATACTGTATTTATGATGGGCATTTATGGGCTGAGCATATCTGACTACTCACGTTTACTCATGTGGCTGTAATTGTCTTATTGCCCTCTGCTATATGAAGATGAGTTACATCAACAGTCTGCCTCTTCCTGGAAACCACAGGAGCTGCGCGAATGTGTATGTTTGTTTATCTAAATGACTCACATCTGTTTTAGCAGCAGACAAGCCAACATATGTTCCTCTCCATAACGCATCTGCCCTGAGTCTACGGTTCAGCATATCACTGCAGATCTCTGCTTCATTTATCTACATTAACTGTGTTTCCTTTCTCCTGTTTTATTCTTAATTGTGTGTGTGCACACAGGTTCATTTTTCATCCACAAGGTTGGAAAAGCTTGGGTAAATTATTCCCTCATAAAGGTTTTACGATCTGAAGTATTAAACCGTAAATTCACACCTTCTTCATTGCTTCAGTATTCTTCCCTTTCCTCTGCGCTCTTCTCTTGCTTGGTAATAATAGTTTCAGTCACTTTTCCTGCATTGGTTAGACTTGATCTAATCCAGACATGAACATGTCTCCACACATAATAGCTATCTTTTTCTTTTTTTGTCTTACCGTGCTGTGTGGTGTCTTTCTCTGGCTCCTCCAGGGTTGTTTGAGTTATTTTGCTTTCCTTTGATTCTTTTTTTTGTTTAAGTGATACTCCACCGTTCTTCGGTGCTCTCCAGCGCAACTGTTTTCATATCTCTCTTGGCTGCTCTAGGTGTACAAGCAGCAGGCGTCAGTGAGTGTATGCGCTCTGGGTCGGCGTCTGTGCGAGCAGGAGGAGGACTTTGCGGGGAAAGCGGCGAATTATCAACGAGAGATCCGGCACCTGCAGAGCCAACTCAGAGACAGACAGGAACAACTGCACGGAGCTCTGCAGCAGAAGAGGTGATCCTCTCCCTCTCACACACACACACACACACACACACACACACTCGCTCTCTCCCCCTCTTGCTTTGTGTGAATAGAGGGATGCAGCAGAAGAGGTGAGAGCAGTAGTGGAGCAGCTGTCACAGAGGCACAGACCAATAACAGACAGTGGAGAAAGAGAGAGAGAGAGAGGAGGGGCTGTAGACTAGCTGGCACAGCTGCAGACTCATCTGTCTAAATGTTCCATGTACTCTCATAATTACATTCACTTTTCTTTCATTTGCTACTTTCTCTGTCTTATGGCCCTGTGTACCTGTTCATTCTTGCAGCTTACTTTTAGTTTGGGGTTTCTGAATAAGACAATCATTCAGTTTCTGACTGAAATCCTAAAAACATTATAAATTCAGAAACTTGAAATATTTGCTGTACTCTCTAATGCCTAAATTTTTTTTATATTTTTAACAATATTATTGGTAACATTTTACAGTAAGGTTAAATGTATTATTTGACCTATACTTTTACATTATATATTTTTAAATACATTAGTAAATTTTTAAGATTGTGTAATTTGTAGTTTTTAAGTTGTGTAATTTAACATAGTTAAAGGTGTAGTTCACCCAAAAATGAAGTCTGTCATTAATTACTCACCCTCATGTCTTTCCAAACCCATAAGAGTTTTCTGACCCTGCATAGACAGCAGCACAACTATCACGTTCAAGGCCCAGAAAGGTAGTAAGGACATCTTTAAAATAGTCCATGTGACATCAGTGGTTCAATCGTAATTTTATGAAGCTACGAGAATACTTTTTGTGCACAAAGAAATAAAAAAATAACAACTAGTAACTTCCAGTCAGTTTCTGCCACCATTCACAAGACTACCACGACTCTTGAATGTGCATTCCTTTGCTCGTAAACAAGCCACAGCGCATCCGGGTTCCACATCAGAACACCGGCTCCTGCATCAGCAGCACCACACACATGCGTCGTGTTACTCTTGTGAACTTGTTAAATAAATGATTATTTTTGTATAAATTATTATTTTTGAATAAAACATTATTTTTGTTTTCTTTGAGCACAAAAAGTATTCTCGTAGCTTCATAAAATTACGGCTGAACCACTGATGTCACATGGACTATTTTAACAATGTTCTTAAATTGATAGTTCACTCAAAAGTGAAAATTCTGTCTTTAATTACTCACCCTCAAATGAAGAATTGTTGAATAAAGTCATTATTTCATTTTTTTGCGCACAAAAAGTACGTTGAACCACTTATGACACACGGTTGAACCACTGATGTCACATGGAATGTTTTGTTGATGTTCTTGGTACATTTCTGGACCTTGAACGTAGTAGGACTCTTGCTGTCTATGCAGGGTCAAAAAGCTCTCGGATTTCATTAAAAATATCTTATTTTATGTACCGAAGACGAACAAAAGGTCTTACGGGTTTGGAATTACATGAGGGTGAGTAATTATTGACATAATTTTCAGTTTTGAGTGAACTATCCCTTTAATGTATTATGCACAAACTTTATCCTAGATTTATTATTCATTATTTTTTATCAAATCATGTTTCTCAAATGTTTTTTATTGGGTTTTATGATTATATATTTGGAGGAGCAGAGCCTTTTCTTTTGCTTTCTAAATAGCACAAAAGTGTTTCTGTGTTTGAGTGCAGATGCCACGGGCAGCCTTGGAGCAGAAGAGGAAAAACTAGTTAAAGGGGTCATATGACGTTGTTAAAAAAGAACATTATTTTGTGTATTTGGTGTAATGAAATGTGTTTATGCGGTTTAAGGTTAAAAAAACACATTATTTTCCACATACTGTACATTATTGTTTCTCCTCTATGCCCCACCTTTCTGAAACGCGTCGATTTTTTCAAAGCTCATCGGTCTGAAAAGCGAGGTCTGCTTTGATTGGCCAGCTATCCAGTGCGTTGTGATTGGCCGAATACCTCAAGCGTATGACAGAAATGTTACACCCCTTACCATATTGTGATGCTGTGTCCTGGCGCGACGAGACAAAACCAATAAAATCCATGACAAATGACTTTGTAGCATCCAGTGGGGACATAATTACTGATTATAATAACTTATATTATCTTTTTACGCATTGCGTTGCATCGTGCCGCGTAAACATAAAACCATGTCTGCATTTGTGATCGGAGAAACGACAAAAAACAAGCGCTACTCTACACTGCTCAAAACTCGTGTTTGAATCAGTGGCAAATCCTTTATATATGAAAACGTACTTACAGTCTGTGAGTCAGAACAGCCGGCGTTGTAGTCTACTCTACCAGGATCAGGAAACAGTCCTCCATAAAATGCGACATCTGAATATTTGGGTTGAACTGTTCTGGAACTGTGTTGTAAATACAACTTAACCACTGATTTCTAGTCGTGTCCATTTTTGGAAAACCAAACAAAGGAGGGCGTGGATGAGTCTTAACTTTTATAAAGAACATCTCTTTGGGTTTGAGACTTTAGTCTTTGCAACTTTAGGGATCTTATCTATTCACGAACAGCTTGTAACACTCCAAAGAGAAAGGAAAACTTGAAATTGCATCATATGACCCCTTTAAAAGGAAAGATGGGTTTTACAATTCCTTACACGGTCTTGAAAAACGTCCTTTCCACTTTTTTAAATTATAACCACTTCCTCAAGCCTGACGAGAGCCAATAGCCTTTTCAAGGTTGTTATGGCAATGTGTATGGCAGAGTAGAGCTGGTGTGCTTATTATTGTGTTATAAGTCATATGTCACACAAGTTGTGTGCACGTGTGTGTGTGTGTGTGTGTGTGTGTGTGTGTAAAACACTAATAACAAAGAATGTATTGTATGTTAATATTTTATGTGTAACACGTAACTGCATACAGCACTCACAGTACTAGACAAGACAGAGGCAAGTCAGACAGTCAAGGCAGGATAGAGTGTCCACTGTCCAGCTAAGGACAGACACACACTGATGGACTCAGATCTGCTCTGCTGTCTGAACTGCTCACTTCATCCTCACAAACTATGACACACACTATTCTTGTTCAGAATTTGAGCCATGTCCAACTCAGCTCCACTTCTTGCAGTATACTCGCTCACCCAGTAAACGCTTACAGTCTCTCACTCTCGCTCACTCTCTCAACACTACATCAAAGCTCATTTTGAAGTCAGTTCCCTACCCAAGCCTGAGTGTGAGGTTTTTAAATGTCAGCTTTGATAAGTCAGTAAAATGCTTCTCCTTCAGAAGAGTTTGTTTTTATGTGGTGTGTGTGTGTGTGTGTTTGAGATTACTTGTGAAGTATATGAAAGGAAATGACAACGATTTTGTTGATATTCACTATGCATTCTCTTACTATGCAGCTGTTCAACCATCTGCTTCAGCCACTTGTTTTTTGAATGTTTTTGACATTTCATTTTGACACCAAACACAATGACTGGAGGAGCTATTTTTCAGGAAGAGATGTGGCATTATTTGACTGAAAAACCCATGGTGATTCACCAAATGATTTTTGTAACACAGTTCGTGGATCAGGAAAAAGGAGGCGGGAACCGGCGAACATTCAAACATAATTTTAATAATAAAATAAACACAAAACTTAAAATAGCGCGACTGCCCCTCACGGATGACTGCCTCTCACGGACACAAACAAAACCAAAACAACATAAATCCAGGCCTGGTCCTCTCTCGTCTTGCACTGTCATCACTCCTCCTTTTATCCTTCCGAAGCTCCTCCGTGGGACTCGAGACCGGTGAGTGGCGCAGGTGTCGTGCATTATCACTTACTCCACCGGCCTCGCTCCGTTCCCATGGCTCTCGGCCCCGCCCCACTCGTCACAATCTTATCTATAGATGGTGGAGTATGGCCATCACTGCAACTCATGATGCTGCTGTCACTCACTGTTTCTCTGTTTTCCTCTGTGTCTTCATATGAGTGTGTGTATGAGAGTTTGTGGTGAAATGTTTTCTGGTGTAGTGCTGTGATTATTTGTAACCCTGTGTGTTGAATGAATGAACATTTTTAAACACTTTGATGTTCAACGGTGTAATGAACAGTCACTTAACTCTGTAATTATTCTCTTATTTCCTGTGTTTTTTTTCCTTCATTTGTGAATGATTGATAAACACATAATCACCTGGGCCCTCTTCAATACAAACAATTGGCAGATTTAATAAACATTTATATGCCATGTTCATGAGTTTCCTCAGTGCCTATTAAAATGGAGAAAAAACAAACAAACAAAATAAGACACAAAAAGCACAAAAGAATATAAACCACCTTTCAAGCGTTTTGGAAAGTTCGGGAAAGTTTTTTTTTTTTAAATTACGCTCCCTATGGCTATATTTATTGTTCAATGTTCACTTTATTTATAGAGCACATATTAATACAACAAATGTTGACCACAGTGCTGTACATGAGACAATGCAGAATAAAAATAAAATCACTTTCAAGTTCTATATCATAACACACAAACACAAATAAAACCTCCAATGGGGCAATTGGTAAAAACCAGTTTCACCACTAACACCGCACTCATGTACAGGTGCATCTCAATAAATTAGAATGTCGTGGAAAAGTTCATTTATTTCAGTAATTCAACTCAAATTGTGAAACTCGTGTATTAAATAAATTCAATGCACACAGACTGAAGTAGTTTAAGTCTTTGGTTCTTTTAATTGTGATGATTTTTCCACGACATTCTAATTTATTGAGATGCACCTGTATGCTCAAACGCCACAGTAAAAAAAAAGATGATTTTAAATGTCGCTTAAACTCTAAGAGTGGGGCACTGCCGAATATAATGAGGTAAACCATTCCATAGCCTAGGAGCAGCAGCCGCAAAGGAGCGGTCTCCTCTCGTTTTCCGGTACGTCCGCGGGACCACTAAGAGATTCAGTGACTCAGAACGTAACATTCTCTTTGATTTCTTCACCTGGATCAGATCAGCTATATATGATGGAGCTGTACCATGTAAGGCTTTAAAAATAAATAATAATATCTTCAAATCAGTCCTATAAGAAACC